AGATGATACCTTCAGGAGCAGTGGTGGGAGTGGTGATACCGAAAGGTTGGCGATACCTGGAGGGTGGAGGGAAGGTGGGGTAGAAAAGGGGAACAGATGATAAGGATCTACATATACCCTCCTCCCTGGGGGATGGACAACAGAAAAGTGGGTGAAGCGATATAACATATGTAACATATGTTACATATGTAACATATGTAACACATGACAAAATAATAATAATTTATATATTATCAAGTGTTCATGAGGGAAGGGGGAATGGGGAGGGAGGGGGGGAAATGAGGAGCTGATACCAAAGGCTCAAGTAGAAAGGAAATGTTTTGAGAATGATGAGGGCAATAAATGTGCAAATGTACTTGGAAAAAAAAAAGATGTGTTCTCTGATGAGGGCAACAAATATATAAATGTGCTTGACACAATGGATGGATGTACCGATTGTGATAAGAGTTGTACGAGCCCCCAATAAAATGATTAAAAAAAAAAACTGTTACAGTCTCAGAAACTCACAGGGGCAGGTCTATCCTGTCCTATAGGGTCGCCATGAGTCAGACTTGACTTGATGACAGTAAGTCTGGAGTTTTTTCTTCTTTATATAAAGTTAGATTTCTATAGGAATTTTCCACATATTTGGTTTCCTCTTAAATGCACCTGTGTTAGTTCGGGTACTTTAGAGAAACAAATCCACAGACACTCATATGTATAGAGAGAGTTTTATATAAAGGGTAAGTGTACATCAAGAAAACATCCCAACCCAGTGCTGCTCAAGCCCACAAGTCCAACATTAACCTATTAACCCATATGTCCAACACCAATCCACAAAGTCCTCCTCCATCTCACAAAACAGATGCAGTGATGCCTACTGCAAGAGGAAAGCTGAGTCAGTGAAAGTGTAAGCATCTCAGCGCTGGCAGGGGTCTCCACATGGCTGCTCCAGCACTCAGGGCTGCATCAGGGTAGGTTCATGTGGCTTCTCCTCAGGGATGTCTTGCAGGAAGTGAGCCTTGCAAGCTAAAGCAGGAACTGACTGAGGCAGCTGCACCCTGGTCCGACTATCAGAAAGCAAGAGACCTGAGAACTAGAAAGGCGGGGCTCACTGAGCCACTTATCCCTCCACCCTTCAATTAACCCCACAAGTATTTATTGGCCAGGTTGGCACAATAAACTAATTATATCAGCGCCCCAATTTATTTACCTTTAAGAATGAATTAACTTATTTCTACATTTCTACAAACCTTTCCTCAAGCTCTTGCTACAGCACTTATCAAAATCTATCCTGTATTAGTTATATTGACTGTATGCTCATATCCCTTAACACACATTGTGAGCTCCTTGACAAAAAAGCACTATGATACACTTAATTTGAACCCCAATCTGAGAACAATTAGTTCATATGGTATGGCCCTGCTCAATGAAGAGATCACTGAAAATGTGGGTGCTACAGTAGTGTGGTAAAGAAATCAGATGGTGCCCAGCTATCATAAAGAACAGTGTCTGAGTCCTTAAAGATTTGTCTTCAAACAAGTAGCCATTAAGTGAGGTGTCCACCAAGTCCACATGAAAGAAGCACACCAGCCTGTGTGATCCAAGGATTATAAATAATAGAATCCCAATGTGGAGAAAGGAATGGTATTCGAGCTTATAGTGTGAACACCTGCTTTATGGGAGGCCATGAATGACAGTGAAAACCCAAGTCTATTTGTACCATCAACACATGGATTAAGTCTCCAGTGAATGTACATGGGCCATAGTTGAGGGATAGGAATAGCCTTGTAATCACACTGAAAGCATTTTAAAATCAATTTTAGCAAATGTAGCTAGGGCAAATGTTTTTTCTATGTTTTGTCTAGTCATTGTTGTTGGGTTTTGTTTGTTTGCTTACCCTGTATGATTTTCTGTATGTGAAATCCAGGATACATAGATCTATGACACTAAACTGGATAGGGTCATGGCAAGGCTGGCTGGGTGAAATAGGAAGCTAAGAACAAGAGTTTGGGAAGAAAATGTTAGAAATTGATTGGAATGATGAGTGAACAAAGCTTTTTAATATAATTGTATAATTGTATCATGTGGATATGCCAATAAAGCTATTTTTTAAAGAAGTGTGACAAATATTGTTTTATATTTATTTCACCACCCTTTATCCTTCACCCTACCTATACCCAAGTTCACAACACTTGTCTGTTTAACAGGAAGAGTTCAGAGTTTCTGGAATTCCACCAGAATCCTAAACATATACTCCTATTACTAACACATTCCAAACCTTCTGTTATAATTTCAATCCCACAAATTAACAATTAGATAATCTATCAACAAATATATACCATTGATTGGATTTAACATTGGAGAGTAATCATACTTCTAAAAAGAAGCAATTGTTCCTCTTAATATTTGATCTATATCTTGTGGAAGTCATCTGATCCATGGACTTCCTTGAGTGCTTGATCATGAGGCATGAGTAAATAAAAGTTTAAAATGTAACTTCTTACTCCCTCAACACAAGATCACTTTGTTCTAAAAATTTGGCAGCCTGAGATGCTCACCTTCCTACCACAAGCAAGTATGGTGAAGAAAGTGGATGGTGCCTGGCTATAAAAATATATAGCATCTGGGGTCTTAAAGGCCTGCAGATAAACAAGAAGTCACATGAGAAACAACAAAGTCCACATGGAAGAAGCACACCAACCTATCCTGACATGATCACTGAAGACAAAGCCAGTGCATAAGCAAATGTGGTGAAGAAAGCTGATGGTGCCTAGCTATCAAAAAATATATAGCATCTGGGGTCTTAAAGGCCTGAAGATAAACAGACGGCCATCTAACTGAGAAACAACAAAGTCCACATGAAAGAAGCACACCAGCCTATCCTGACATGATCTCTGAAGACAAAGCGGGTGCATAAACAAATGTGGTGAAGAAAGCTGATGGAGTCCGGCTATCAAAATATATAGAGTCTGGGGTCCTATAGGCTTGAAGATAAACAAGCGGCCATCTAACTGAGAAACAACAAAGCCCACATGGCAGAAGCACACCAGCCTGTGAGATCATGAGACATCAAAGGTATCAGGTATCAGGCATCAAAGACCAAAAAGAATCATAGCATTGTGAATGAGGGGGAGTGCAGAGTGGGGACCCAGGGCCCATATGTGGGAAATTGTACATCCCCTTGTAGAAGGGTTGGGGGGGAGGAGATGAGCCACTGAGGGTGCAGTGTAGCAATGATGAAACATACAATTTTCCTCTAGTTCTTGAATGCTTCTTTACCGCCCCCCCCCCTTTCCACTATCATGATCCCAATTCTACCTTACAAATCTGGCTGGACTGGAGGATATACACTGGTACAGATAGGAACTGGAAACACAGGGAATCCAGGATAGATGAACCCCTCAGAACCAGTGGTGAGAATGGCGATACCAGGAGAGTAGAGGGAAGGTGAGGGAGAAAGGGGGAACAGATTACAAGGATCTACATATAACCTCCTCCCTGGGGGATGGACAGCAGAGAAGTGGGTGAAAGGAGACATCAGATGGCATAAGATATGACAAAATAGTAATAATTTATGAATTATCAAGGTTTCATAGGGGAGAGGGTACCGGGAAAAATGAGGAACTGATACCAAGGGCTCAAGTCGAAAGCAAATGTTTTATGAATGATGAGGGAAACAAATGTACCGAAGTGCTTGACACAATGGATGTATGCGTGGATTGTGATAAGAGTACAAGCTCCCAATAAAATGATTGAATTATTTTTTAAAAAATGTAACTTCTTAAGCTCTTCATATGTATAGGTAAATCTGCTGCACAAGACCTCTTTAACGTGTTGAGAAGCAAAGGTATTACTTTGAGGACTAAGGTGCTCCTGACCCAAGTCATGGTAGCTTCATGGTATTGCCTCATATGCATGTGAAGACTGGACACTGAATAAGGAAGACTGAAGAAGAATCAATGCGTTTGAACTGTAGTATTGGCAAAGACTATTAAAAGTACCGTGGGCTGCTAAAAGGACAAACAGATCTGTCTTGGAAGAAGTCCAACCAGAATACTCCTTACGGGTAAGGATGGTGAGATTTCATCTCATCATGTATCTTGGACGTTTTATAGGAGAAACCAGTCCTGAGAGAAGGACACCATGTTTGGTAAAATGCAGGAGCAGCAAAAAAGAGGAAGGCCCTCACTGAGATGGATGGACACAGTGGCAGCAACAATGGTCTCAAACAGAAGAACAATTGTGAGGAGGGGCAGGGGCAAGGTCACTTACATGAGTAAGGTCACTCTGACTTGACTCAACAGCATCTAACAATACCAACATGTATAGGGAGTGTCATATACACAGAGGAGATGCCAGTCTATTAACTACCTTCTCAATGTTCTCTTTCTTTAATCAGGTAAAATGAGACACCTCTTTAACCCATACATTTGATAGTTTTCAGAGAGTGATGAAGTAAAACACACGTGTCCCTGAAATTCTGTATCGTACCGTATCAAAGGACAAGGACCCAGCCTTTGTTTACCCTCAGATTCTGAATATCTCAGGGTTGGATTTGCTTTGCTTTCCAGATGTATCAAAGATTTTTTCCCCCAGCATCTTAGAAAAAAAGAAGGCAGGAAGTAAAATATTTAAAATCAACATAGTCAGTTTTATATGCCTTGGGATCAGTCCCAAAAGGAGAGCGACCTAGTCCACATAAGCACTAGCTATGGATGCCACCATAGCTGAGCCAGACATAGACAAGACCCTGGAACCTACAGAGGGAGTCAGACATTTATACCCAGCTTTACTTCAGTCATATGGTTTATAATTAACTTCAAGATGAATGGGCGTGGTCTGTATTATGAGATACATATGTATGAAGCATCAGGAAATATGTCATTTTGTCATCACTATACTATTAGAAGCATCACCGCTGCTGCTTACCTCGACCTATGGCTGTGCATGAGAACCTTTATAAAGTGAACAAGCACATGTCTTGCTCCAGTCTCAGCTTGCTGTGAAGCTTGTCAACTATGCGGCTCCACTATCTTCTCTTTGCATTAGTCTTCTTGTTCTTGGTTCCTGTTCCAGGTAAGTGGGGCCTGGGAAATCAGAGGTTTGTGTGAGAACCAGGGATCATCTGGACCTTAAAGAAATCTTCCCAAGAGTTTCTGAGCCATTCTTCTTCTCTTTTTCTTTCTCATTGTAATCCTCTTTGCTTGATTGTGTTTCATAGGTAGTGTATTGTTTTTAATGATAAATGACAACTAATATTTATTGAGAGATTACTAAGTGCCAGGCATTGTGCCAAGAACATTCTATTCATTATGAAAAAAGGAACACTTCCTTATTAGCTTCGTTTCTGCAACAAGGAGAGTGAGGCTCAGATTTAAAGGCAGGTGGTCTGTAGTTAAAGACAATGATTTTTTTTAAAGATGATTTATGAAATCACAATCCATTCTAATGCTCCCTCCCACCTCCCATCTTCATTAGTTACTCCAAAATCCCCTTTCCCTCCCTATCTTCTCCCACACCCTAACCCTTTGTAGTCCCTATATCCCCTTGTATCTGTTCTTATCATTATGCATTCACTCCTCCTGTGCTTCACACTGAGAGACCCAACAGAAAACAAAATCGCCCTCAGGTGGTGAGGGTAAAAACCTAATAGTATGAAGACAAAAATACTAATAATGCATAAGAAAGCAAAGACCCCCTAACAATAATAAAAAGGTCAGGGAAGAAATTTCTATCATGGAACCAGGAAGAGATACTTGCACCCAAACCAAATTCAAGTCAAGTTTATAGGGTAGACAACTAGCCCAGTGTCAAGGTGAGTTCAGTCCAGCACTATCAAGATTACAATAGTCTCTGTCAGATAGTAAAGCTGATCTACTCTTGCCTATGGCTAGAGGGGATCTGCCAGTGTGAGCCATTCTTAAGAGACTGAATGACTGACAAAATCTATGTCTTAAGCCATTACTCTGAAGAAAGACTGTTATTGAGACATTAGACATTAGGAAATGTTTTTTTTTTTTAAGAATTTGATAGCAACAGATAAGATTGCTTTAGTCTGAGAAGAGAATAACAGACTCGCATTTCATTAAGCTAAGTGGTTAGCAGCTGAAGTCTTTGGGCCACTTAGAAGGCTCAGAGGAACACAGGAGTCCCTAGCCCCTCCACATAGTCCTCTTCCTGTGGGAGGTCCTTTTGGTCACACTTTCCCGGTATCACTAAAGTTTCACAGCTAAACTGCATCTCACAGAATCATTGACAGGCCACTTAGTTCCACCTCTTATATTACACTTGCTTTATTTTTTTAAAAAGGTGGGAGGAGAGGAGAATGAAAACAAAAGAAAGACAACAGATTGGAGGAATTCCCAAAGCTTTCCTAATACTTTCCCCTGTGCTCTCTTTTTAATTGCAGGTAGCGGAATATTCATAAGTGCAATACAAAAATATTTCTGCAAAATAAGAAGCGGCAGGTGTGCCATCCTGGGCTGCCTTCCAAAGGAGGAACAGATAGGCCGCTGTTCATTAGGCGGCCGGAAATGCTGCCGACGAAAGAAGTAAAAACTCCAGAAGCGTGATGATAATGTTGGAAAGGAGAAAATGCCTCCTTAACATTTATAAAAACAAAATCAAATGAAATCATATATACTTAATAAAAGCTTTTTTAATAGGCTCTGTTAATAGAATGGTCATTTAGGTAACTGGTAAAATGTTAATAATTTACCTTTAATTCAAACAAAACCTAATCTCTAGTGGAATTTAAATTGGGACTTAAGCTCATACCCAGGGTCATCAGATTATATTATTATTTTTGAACTTTAAACTCTAGAGAAATTTGATACCTTGTTCCTGAAATACTCCTTTTGGTCATCCATGCCTTGTGCTTTCTCGTTCTAGTTAGCATAACATAAATACACCAAATCTATCTCTATCACTTTCGTGAATCTGAATTAGTAATAATCAATATAAAGCCAATTGCCCAAATGTGAAGAGAAGTCATATGCCTGCTTTCCCACTTCTCCATCTCTGATGCTCGCCAAGAAAATGGTGTTCGCTCACACTCTATCTCCCCATGGTTCTCACTCACTGCCATGGGGTTGAAGCTAAGTCCTAGCTACCTCACAGGAAAGGGTAGAACTGCCCATGTGGGTTTATGATACTATAACTTTTTACTGGAGTGGACACCCTCATCTTTTTCCCAAAGAGCGGCTGGTGGTTTCTAACTGCTGACCTTGTGGCTAGCAGCCCAATGTTTAACCACTAGGGATTGTCTTTACAAAATATTAGCCTTCTGTCCTTCTATTCAACTGCCACATAGGCAGGTTCTAGGCCCTGCTTATTCTCATGGCTCCCGACCATTTGATGATTCACTAGAATGACTCATGAGCCCACAGAAAGGGTGATACTCAACCATATCCTTTTAAAACAAAGAGATACTCAAACTCCTCTCTGGGAGGAGTTTTTGGCTCAGAGTTTCATGTCCCCAGAGAATTATAGTTCTTCCCACATGCATCATCAATCTGGAAGCTTAGAATAAATCTCCGAGAGTTCAGGGACCATTGTAATAGGCATTGGGACCGCAATATTTGACATCACTGGGGCCTGAATGCATTGCCAGTGCCTGGCTGAATTACTGTATGCATGACCACATGCACATTCACTCACTCACTTCTTGAAGTTACTTCATGAAATACGGTCTTCAGGGTCTCACTTCATTTTTAGGTCTTGAAGTGTTGCCTGGCTCAAAACAAAACAAACAAAATAAGGTGCCTTGTATAGAAAAATCAAGGCACCTTGACAGCTCCAGAAATTTCAAGGGTTATTTTTTAGGAGCCCAAAAGGAAAGGCCAAATGGAGTTCTTTGTCCCCTATAATATCCCTCAGGCCCATCCCAAATTACTCTGAAAATGTTATACTTCAGAGAAACAGGGAACTGTCCCTTCTTAAGTTATTGCCTTTAATTTCTTATTACTCATATTCACTTCTGTTGACCCCCGACCTGGGATCACTACTTCAACTCTCTAAAATTTTAACTTATCCCTCAGAGAGTATTTCAAATCCCCTCTCCCTCTTGAAAATAAAGCGGACTTACAGAATACATATGATCTTTCCTTGACTCAGCGCAGGCGTCTGTCTTTAGATCTCCACCTATTACTCTTACTTCACATTTGCACTGTCTACATTTGTTTACTACTAATCTCCCTATCTGCTTGCATGGCTGATCTTTAAGCACATGGATCTTGTCTTAGCCACTCCTCCATTGCCTAGTAAAGTGCTCCGAACAGAATTATATGCTATCAGCAAATGATTTTCAAATTGCATTGCATTCAAATGATTCCAAGGACTTATAACCTGCTATTTAGCTTGTCCTTAATGTTAATATGAAACAATTGCAGTCAGAACGGTGGGAATCCATAAATTCCCTGACACCCTGACCCTAAGTAAGGAACAAAAGTCTTTCCTGAAGAGGATAACAAAGACCCAAGATGAGAGCCTGTAGTGCACTTTACTCCAGAGAGATGAACTGTTAGGAGACATTCCCTCCTAGAGTCCACAGCTGGAGAAGCAGACAAAATATCTGTGCTAAAATAAAATAAATACTAAACTAATAATGTAAATTTATCAGCATTTACTTAATCTATGATTTATAAACTGGGACAACCCTTCTAACTAGAGAGTCAAAACTGTTCCAGAGAAGGAAGATTATTTACAGGTTTTCATCCCACAGTTTATTGCTAGAACTTAATCTACATTGTCATGGAAATGGGGCAAGAATAGAGTTCACAAAACATTTTGTAAAAATGCAAGAGTCTGTACATTTTCTTGGAAAGCAACCCAAATAATTGATAATTAGCTGTAAAACATGATTTTTAGTCTGATCTTTTGCATTTATTGTTGTCAAACTGACTACACATACATCATTCTTCAAAAAACATAATGCTCAAGGCAAACATTTACATTTCTTATTAATTATACTAAACTATTGTTTTAAAAAATGACTTTGAGGTACCAGTTTTAGCCAAGATTCAAGGTTTAAAGATTCCCTCTCAGCAAGGACTTGGGGTAGGTCATTTTAACCTCAATGGCTCTAGAAAGCCTAAATTAAAAGTCCTGTCCTCAGATGAAGCAGCTGTTTCCAAACACCATACCATAAGCAGTGCAAGACTATGATTATGGAGAAAAGGGGGGACAACCATGTGAGACTACTGATTGCTTTAGCTCATGACATAGAGGCAGTTTTCACTCCATTGCATATAAGGAAGAAACTAAATGGAAATGAGATTGAAGAGACTTAGATTAAAGTTCAGGCAACACAAGACGTCCACATTACTAGTTGCTGTCTTACTTAGATTCTATGTGATTGCCAGGCACCATCTAATTTTGTCACCAAACTTTGCCATGGCATCTGCATCTTCTGTGAAAACATTCCATTTTAAAGGGGGAGATTTTATTTCAGTTAAAACCTAAGGTAAATATCAAATACATATTGTCTACAAAAATTTAAAAACCACTTTAAATATAAAATATAAAGGCAATTACATGTCAGAAAAACATTAATATAAACAAATCTAAGTTGGTTATGGCTAAGTAACTACAAAGGGAAGTACATTTTAAAACAGGTAACATTACCAGGAAAAAGCATAGCATTTCCTAATGATAAAACATTTTCTAATGAAAAATCAAGAACATAGTCTCATATTAATATTAAATTAATATGCACCTAAGCATAACTTTTATGTATTAAACAAAACAGATAGAAATTTTGAGGAAGTAGACAAATTACCAATTAAAATTTCAGATTTTTTTCTTTCTAATGGATAGAGAGGAAGCAGAATATCAGTAAAGGTATTGAACAATAGTATCATCATATATGACTAAATTGAAATGTTTAGCATGCCACCCAGTATATATTCAAACAGTATATATTCAAACATTAGCCAAGATTGTCCATAATATACTGAGTCATTAAATAACTCTCAAAACACTTAAATCAATTTATGATCATACAAAATATGCTTCCTACTCATAGTGAGATTTACAAAGATGTCACTAATAGAAAAAATATCTGGGAACATCATCCACATATGTATAAATTAGTAAATTTACAAGTAAGCAAAGGATCAGAGGAGATATCACAATATAAATTAGTAAATTAAAAAATATATATATAATAAACTGTGCCTCCCAGCGCAGGTGGACACCAGATGATAAGTACAGGGAGATCTCTTTAGCAGCTACTGGGGAAGCTCCACTGGGAGGGATATCCTGTACTTCCTGTCAGTGAGAAATTCAATTTAAAGGTAAGTTGACCCATGTTTCTTAAAGTGAGAGAGTGAGGTAGTTAAAGTTTATTGTGCCAACCTGGCTGATAAACACAGGTGAGGTTAATTGAAGGGTGGAGAGATAAATAGCTCAGTGAGCCTCACCTTTCTAGTTCTTGGGTCTCTTGCTTTCTGATGGTCGGACCAGGGTGCAGCTGCCTTAGCCAGTTCCCTGATTCAGCTGGAAAGTTCCTGCAAGACATCCCTGAGGAGAAGCCACATGGACCTACCCCGATGCAGCCCTGGGTGCTGGAGCAGCTGTGTGGGGACCTCTGCCAGCGCTGAGATGCTTGCACATTCACTGACTTGGCTTTCTTCCAGAAGTTGTCATCATTGCTTGTCTTTTGTGAAATGGAGG